AATTTTGATTATAATCAGGCTAAGATTAGTCGTATATGTATAAAATTTTATACAGCCTAAGGGAAATTAAGGTCCGCCCTTCTATGATAACCCTACGGAACAACTTCAGGGAACGCGTTTTAGGTACGCAAGTATATTTGTATGAAGTGGCAACTATTCAAAATCGATGCATGCAAAGCCTCCATGGTTGCTGAGACGGCTGCTATAACGTTTCAAGTAGACTGGTAAACACGTAGTGATGACAAGTTCATAGAACACATTCAAAACTGGTCTGCATCGTAGCTAAGCCTATTAAAAATTTTAAAAACATTTCTAGTTGTAGGCAATTAAGGGCAGGTGATGAAACCTCTTACGCCAGACTGGACCCGGCAACTCAACAAGCCGGCCTGGCTGCAGGTGCTATCGTGATGAATGCTTGCTAAATTATGCTGATCAGACCCGACTGCCACCAATACGTAGTTTCAGCGTCGCCAAAAGCATTTTCACATCTAACATTCAAACGACCCTCGTCGAGTCGGTCAGATGGGATACATTCCGGTTAGTTTGAAGTGTTATGGCTGGGTTTACGATGGGAACAGAGTGGTTACTGTTGAAGCTAGTAACGCTCCTTGGTCGAAAAATATTCTCGTTCGCACACTCCTGGCATTTGCCCCTTCACCTGCACCCAAAATCCCATAGTGTTAGATGCCATGATCTCTAAGCATTCGACAACTCATATAAATTCTGTCCCGTTGTACGATCTGAGCGAAGGCTTATAGTAAATGGTGGTCATAAAGGAAAGCGTCCGTGCATAGGACAGTGGAGAAATTTCCTGGAGTCAATACGCGGCGCCGCAATGACTGGTCACATGGAAAGATGTTGCGATTGTCTGTTCCGATTGCTTTATCTAATTCTCATACGGAATATTCCTTCTGCCCAATCAGAAGGATGCGTGCAATGTCCGCTGAAGATGGCCAGAATAAATACTGGGCTGCAACAACGAGGAAGCCTTCCTAAAACCTTCCTTACTTCAAAATATGTTTAATACATAGTAACCAATGTATTACCGGCAAACATTAGGGATTGCGGAATACGCGTTTTTCTGGCTTATTGGCCGTCGTCGGCTGCACATACCCAACTCCAATATAGCCACAGAAACTGCCGCTGCACTCGTCCTTGAG